AAACAGTGTTAAAGTCTGTATAAATTACCACTGAGACAGGATTTCACTCGACTTCCAAGTATACCAAAAAGCTTTTTTCATAGTTCTAGAATATGATTTGCAAGCATATGCACATAATGAATCTAAATGAATGTAAATCACTCAAATCTACTGGAGGCCACCACTTCATTAGGAATACAGGCTTCTAAAGAAATTAGTTCACCATTCCATTTTTACATTAGTTAGCAACTCTTTTAGTCTTACTGTTGTACTGTAAAATGGCACAGTAGAAAACATCAATATCCTTGTCCCATCACTATTTACTACTGGAATGATATGCAATCTTGTCTTTTAACACATATTAATCAATAATATATATTAGCAAGTTAATGTCAAGAAAGTCCCAATAATCTATTAGCATGCTCTCAGAAAAACCTTCCTGGAAGTTTAAAAGTAACAGTTTTTAGATTAGATTTTCAGGGCACATCAAAAGCAAAAACTACACACACCCTTAGAAGAGCACTCCCTCCCATCTACCTCCTCCAGCTATTGTGCTGAAGCAGGAGGCAACCCAACACGTGACCTAATCAATACCCTTAGCTACAAAATAAAAACATTCTTTATTAGCTATCACATTTGAACTAGCAGGGGACCACTACCTCTAAGTGAACGTGTTTCAAGTTTTCATCAACACAGAGGAAAGGGGTGTTACATGTCACAGATGGGCCAAGGCAGGCCTCAATGAATTAGAGAAAATGATCAAAATAATGAATTATATTGATCAGTGCTAGCCAGTTATCAGGTAACTGATGAAAAACAAACTTATGTGATAAGAACATAAGCTAGATTTCCATCTTCTATTTTAAGGTGACTATAGAGGTAGGTTCTTTAAAATTCAGAAATCTTATTTGTAGGATTTTCAGTAGAGTTTTATCTTGACTCCCCCACCAAGTTTTATATTCCTGGAAGGCAAGGCATCATTCAATATTTCTTTATATTCCACAGCATCAAACTCAGGTTTTTAAACTCATTGAAATGATCAAGTCATCCATTAAAACCTTCTAATTCAAAGATATTTTATTTTATAAAAAATACTAAATTACATTTTCTACTGATCAATAGGCATATTTATCAATAGGCAACTATTTTAACAATTTAATTATCTATTTATAAAAATAATAGACTGTAGAAAACAGAAAATAAAAGTGTTAAGAAAAAATGAAATCACTCATATCACCAGAGAAATATTTACTTCCTGTTATTTCATCTAATTGATTTATTAATATATCTAAGAATGTGTATTTCTGCACATATGAGAAGTACTGAGATCATGCTATATATATATTGTTTTACACCCTGGTTTTTTCACTCAGATTATAAGAAACAGCATTTTCCTGTATCTTGAAAGTTATCAGAAAATATTTAAAAGCTAGTCCTAAATAATAGCAACATACCAAACTTTATTAAATAATTCTATTAGTTGTTGTTTTCTAGGTCTTGCTAATACTGCAATGAATTTTTGTAAATGTTTGTCCACATTTCTCATTACTCCCCTAGGATCCTTTCCTAGAAGTGAAGATATTGGGTCAAAGGGTAAACAAACAAGGCTCTTAGCATATTGCTAACCCGCTTTCCAGAAAGGATATCCCAGTTTAGACTGTTATTAGAAGCATACGTGCATTCTCTTTTTAAAAAGCAAACTATTCTAGAAATTTTGTCAATATCAAAAGCAAGGAATAGATTTTATTGTCTTAATTATGTCTTTGATATTAAGTGAGATAAAATCTTATGTTTATTGGCCTTTTATATTTTCTCTTCTGTCTCTAAAATTCTTGGTGTTTTTCCTTATCAGATTGAGCCATGAACTATTCAGAACCTAATTTAAATAACCTGTGACTTGCCATCTTCAGGGATAGTTACACGTTCCCAAGTCTTCATCCACTAGATGAAGGACTTATCTGTCTTGTCATAATATTATCTTCGTCAAAACGTTTAAACCTAAACTTCATCTTTTCTGATGGACCTTTTCTCAGGTGACAGTAAACATATTAAAAATGTTATTTTTCTTTTTCAAAGAATTATCTCTAATTATTAAGAATTTCTAGATTAGTTTTTTGAAAACTGAGCATATTATAATAAAATATTCATTGAAAATATATTAAAATGGAAAGATATTCATATTTAAACTTATTTAAACATTTAAACTACCATTATACATGATGTTTTCTATAAAAGCTAAGTACAAGTCACATAAAAAATTATGTACCTTTAAAAAATAATGTTTTATTTTTCAATGTTTGAATAGTTAAATTCAAAAACCATGTCCAAAGTTTTAGAAAATGTGCTAATGATGTTGAATACACATGTATATTTCCCCACTGTTATGAAATATAAGTTGTAATCAAACGCTATCTAAATTCAGCTCATCTGAAACCAGCTGGCTGCTTCTCACCCACACCATTCCAAGTCAAGTTAACCTGTGTTTTCAATAAATGAAACAGTGCTTAAGTTATCTAACAATAAAGTTTTGAATACAAGTGCATTATTAAAATGGGGCAATGGACAGAGATGGCTCCAAGAAACTATACCATCCTCCAAGAATTAACAAATCCAGATTTTCTCAAATCTTCAGTTCACAGTATATTCCCCTTCAGATGAGCAGTAACAGTAGTTTATGGGCTTCAAATTTATAGAGCCTTAATTCAGGGAACTGTTATCACTACATCCTAGTTTAACTGCAGAAGCTTACATCAAAGTTTAAGATACAGAAATAAAATTAAAATACAACTTCTTGTCTTGTGACAGATGTACATGACCAGGGACCTTTCACAACTCAAAGAAGCAGAATCCTAAAAGAATGTATTTTTCTTACCTATCTGGGAGTTAACATGAACATCTTAGACTGAGATGGGGAAAAATGGTCATTCTAGGCAGTGAGTACTTGTAGACTAGCCATTCAGATTTCTTTCTTACCTAAAATAATTGAGGTTATAATACTATAATTCATGTGCCCACAGAGTACAAGAGTATTACATATCATTTGGCCAGGAGTAGTGACAAACGTATGCTTTACAGACCACTGTCAGGCTTCAGATACACAGAACACATATAGTCACCAAAGACATAAGCCAAACTAAACCGTAGGAGGAAACCTCAGATAATCTTCAGTACTCCAGCTCTCAACTCGATGTCATCTTATACAATTTCGGAGACCTAAATTGCTGTTTCTTGCTATATTCCAACAACACATTTTTGGTTGTACCAAGAGCTTGATGTCTTTCATTTTGGCTGGCTGCATCAGCTGCCCTTCTCCCCGCCCCCCTCCCCCACCACCCCCCACTCGCCCAAAGAAGGAATCAAAGAAGCTAATTCTAGATTCCAAACTATTTTTGTTTTGGGGCACAGCAATTGGTAGCAAATCCTCCTGGCTATGACATTTTGTTGTTGCTGTCACTTGGGGAAAAAATTCAAAGACAGAAAAGGAGAAGCAATAATGTAGCATCTAACAAAATATCCATATACTTAATGCTTAGATTTAAAAGATGTTAACATTTAATGAAATCCAAATCCAACTCAAACATTTTTCAAATATAAAATTCAAATATTACAGACAAGGGCAACATGTTTGTCCTCTGTCCCTCCCTATCCAGGGTCAAACACTAACTACATTTTGTTTGATATCTTTGTTCCGTATTTTTATACTTCCATTATATGCACATATAAACAAATGGACATATTCTATGTGGTTTTAGATTTTTATATAAATGGCACCATGAGGTCTATATTGCTTGATACTCTGCTTTTTCTTTCTTTTTAATTCAACACAATGTTATTGAGATCTATCCTCAAACCTTCTGGACAGCGTTGTCCTACTCACATCATCTTCAGACAATGTCACATCAAACGATACTTACATAAGGTGCCATATGCACACACACCCAGAGCAAGCTCTAAGATTAACTACTAAGCAGGCAAAATTTAGTCTTCAGCGTTGCTAGAATAAATAGTCGCTTTTCCTTTATCTTGTTTCCTCTGTAACACATACCAAGATGAAGGAAACCCAAGCCTCTTCTTCCTCTCCTACCCCATCTCTTCCCAAGTAAAGAAAAAGAAACTCCAATGATAAAACTTAACACTGCACACTTTAGGAAGACAGCATCAATTTTTCAAAGGGGGTTTCCAGGTTGGTCACAGAGGGACTATAACATATCCAGTTGTTGCATTTACTAACTGTCATCCTGGCCAAGCTACTCACCCTCTCAAAAGCCGAAGTTTCTGCATCAGCAAAGCAGGGTTATCACACCTGTCTCCTCGGGCCACCATAGGGACTAATGCCTAGAAAGCACATCATGACTGAGACTCAGTGAACACAATAAACATTCAAGGCAGCACTGACCACTGCTGCACACACCCTGCCCTATAGACACCAATGGGTGGTTTTCATTCTTTGCAGGGAGGGGTGGGTGGAGCTGTGCCATTCTTACTGTTAGGAAAGCAATGTATCCCCTTAATCACTGATTTTCCTGGGACTGGCTTATTCCTAAAACTACAGTGAAAATTGGTTAAATTTCAGAAGACTAAAATTGTATTTGAATACATAAGTGAAGTAAAAAAAGATCAAGCTGGAATTCTAACTAGATTTTTGGCTAAGTATTCACAGTTTGGAGATTCAGATTTAGCCTTTCAATAATAAAATGCTGGCACTGTCTATTGGTAATCTAAATGGAAGAGAGATGCAGAAACAAGACAAATGGAGAGAAACAGCAAAAAAAAAAAATGCTCCTTTCTTTATTAGGAACAAAAATTAGCTTCATCTAAGAGTTTTATAATGGCAGCTTGAAATGTATTTTCAAAAACTCAACCTTCAGCACATTCTAGGCTTACATTCTTTTACTTATTTATATTTTCTAAAAGCATCTAATTTTTATCTTTTAATCTGTGACTGAACCCTCCCTCTCTGACTCAGACTACATTACTGTGAATATGTACACACACACACACACACACACACACACACACACTCCCACTCAGTTACGCATCATCCCAGAAGGATGACTGAGTGCCCCAACATACCTCAGGTGACAAACTGTTGAGAGTTTAGAGCGCAAATACATATCATTTGAGCTTTCCCAGTCTGTATGGCCTTGCATTTATTTTCAAAAGAAGTTTAAGATAGCAATCTAAATCTGCAATGAATAACTGATCAAAACTTGAAGTGTCCTCTATTTTATCTTTCCACACATGCACAACATTTTCACAAATATTTGAACCTCAAAACCAAATACGAAATAAACAGCCCCAACTTCTGTATTTTATCTAGTGCTTATTGAAAGCTTCTAAACAGCTATGTAGCACTCACTCTTGGAAAGTCACAGGGTATAAGTGTTTTATGTTCTTAGCCTCTTAAATGTCATAGAAAATCATCCCTATCACTGTGAGGATTGTTTTAAAGGATGGTGGTAGAAATGCATCATTTCCAAAGTAACTACTATGTTTTCAAAAAATTCTTTTATGAACTACAAATGAAAAACTTTGAGACTTGAAGAAAAATATAAATACACCTGCAAGCATACATTGAAAAATGCCTTTGTGAACGTAAGAGTAGAGATGGGTTTCTTAGGCAGGGCATATAAAGAAGCATAAACCTTAAGCAGTAAAAATTGAAATTTTGACAACATCAAAATTTAAAGCATCTGTATGAAAAAGAACACTATAACAAAGTTGAAGCGCAAGCAGTAAACTGGGAGAGCATATTTCCAACTCACACAACCAAAAGTTTCATGTGTAGATTAATAACATTTACAAATCAATAAACACACATCAAGTCACAAGTAATATAGGTAAATAGGAGATGAGTAGCAATTTATAGAAGAGAAAACTCAGTTTGATAAACTTGTGAAAATATGCCCAACTTTACTAGTAATGAGGAGATTCACATTTAAATTACAAATGACACACTATTTCCTACCCACAATACAAACTATAAGCAAGGATGTAGCAAATCAGTACCTTACACATACTGTTGAGAACGTAAACCAGTACAAACATACTGGCAGGCATTATGCAAAGTTTATAAAATGCAAGATGTATACATTTCTTCATTACTCAGACATTCTACTTCTAATTATATATCCTAGAGAAATCTTTGCTCTTGTGTTTAGGCAGACGTTTACAAAATTTGTCTCTGCAGCACTATTTTTATCAGCAATAAAGCTGGAAACAATCTAAATGTCCATTAATAGGGAACTAGATAAGTGATAGAATACTATCAAGCAATTACAATAAAATAAACTACAGCTAAATGTATCAACACACATAGAGCTCAAAAATCGTTAGATGTTTGCAAGGGTAAGATTCTATTTCTGTAAAATTGCTAAATATATGCAAATACCTATATATGTTTGATAAAAACATGGGGAGAAAATACATGACATTCTTGATTTGGACTGCTTCTGCAAAGACAGAGGGGAAGTGAAAAGGATGGGGAAGAGATCTAAATCGGATTCGAACTTCATCTGTAATATTCTTTCATTTAAAGAAAGAGCTGAACCAAATAAAAAATTAACATTTTTTTAACTCTGGGAAGCAAATTATGAGTACTATTATTTTGCTTTTGGTAATTAATTTAAAAAATAATAAAGAAAGAGATAAATAAGGCATCATATGAAAATTCCTAACCCCTGTCTAGATGATATGGCCTCCGTTCAGTCCAACTAATCCAGTTTTCCAGTAGATACTAACAATCAACCAAGGTAGATTGTTACCAATCTCAAATAATTGCATTTTGACCTTAATGTTATTTTTGAAAAATATACTCAAAAATTATTACCAATACGTCAAATTTAAATACATGAAAGACTTTTGGGAAATAATTTGTCACATATACTAATGTTAGACATGAGAGCTTCCGAAAGGAAATTTATGTGATAATTATTTTCCTTTACCTTTGTCTTACAAAATATTTAGTTTTTACTATAAAAATACCACCTAGCAATAACAGCTGAATAAATCGTAAGTGTAAATCCAGGTAAGTCACTATTTCTATGTCCAGAGACTCCATGAATATTCAGTCAGCAGGCCAATTACAAACCATGAAGTTATTAACAGTATTAGGGTTATTAAAAAATTATTTTTAGAACAGGTTTTTCATGATATGCATAAATGCAAATCTTTAAAATATTTAGCAACTGATTTGCCTACAGAAAAATCTATTAGGCTCAATTTCCAGTGATTCACCTAATACCAAATAATAAATAAAACTCCTATTTACTCAGTTAACTTTGCTTCATCTCATTAAGTGAAAGGATCATTATGTAAGAATAGTGCAAGTTAAAATAATAAACAGAAAAGAAAATAAAAAGCAAAGGATTGCCCATCTAACCTAAGAATCTGAAAGAACCATTCTTACAGGATCACAGGAACTAAAGGGGTCAAATTTCAGGCCTGATAGAATGATGGAGCAGGAGGAAAGATCATTAACATAGAGGAGAAACAAATGTTAGAATAATGACTTTTTTTAAAGCAGTATTTTTATTCTGCCCTAATAGCTCTTTAAAGTTGCTCTATTAGCTTAGGAAATAAACTATACTATGAAAAATGTGTTTTATTCATCGTGCTTGCTTTTCAGACTATTAAAAACAAACAATTTCATTTGCTCTCAATTGGTTTTAATAGATGTTAAAACAAATGGCCCTACAACTTTAAAGAATCCACAAACAGGCAAAAATCTGCAAGGAAAAAAAGCAGCATTCTAAGGGGGCATGTTGCGGGGTCCATGCCTCCCTCCACCCATCTGTCTAGGGCTGGTTTAGGAAGCAAGACAAACATAATCATCAAGCCTCGATCCTAACTGACAAAATGCTCATCAGCCCAGAATTCTTTACTTCTCTGTGAAAATGGTAGTGCCATCTGGAGGCAAAGATGATCTTGTTCTTACATGTGAGAGATTTACTATACTCTCAAATAAAATCATTACTCCTGCTCTTTTAATAATTTTCTGTCCTAAAACAATATATTATTCATTGTGGAAAATTTGGTAACTACAAAAAGAAAAATTAACAAAGCAGTAATCCTGTTACTCAGAGATAAATATCACTGATTTTGAGGCATTTTCTTCCACTAAGAGTAAAATATATGCATTTCTTTCCAATAAGAATAAAATATTCACATATGTAACTGCGCAGACACAAATTCTTTCTAGAGTTGCTTATCATAATATTAAATGTAAAAAAGTAAATTTTAATAATTTCCTATAAAGTTTCTTCACAGACATAGCTGCATTTATTCTATCATAATAAGAAAAAAATAAGTTTATCAAGATTTGGCTAATCACTAATTCACTGGGAAAAGTTATTTAAATTTTTGTAAATTATGCTACATTAACACCATAACACATGAATCTTTTTCCATATGTATAACAACTTCCTGATGACACACTCCTAGAAACTGGATCTCTTGAGGTATATAAAGACAATGATGATAAAGCAAATATATTTACATAAGACTTACTATGGGACATGTACTTTTCTAAGCACTTTACATATTCTAACTAAATGAGTTCTTATAACAATACTGTTTGGTACATTCTATGATTATCTCCATTTTACAGATGAGAACACTGAGGCACTGAAAGGTTAAATAATTTACCTAAGATCACACAGCTAGTAAAAGTAGTAAAACTGAGGCCATCTGGCTGAAGAGTCCATGCTCTGGAATCACATTACACTACTTCTGATGGTGCATGCTGCCAAATTACTTGTGTCTCTTTCTGCTCCCCACTGGAATCCATCCAAGAATGACGCTGTCAATGCTCCCTACCCACCATTTGCTTTTTTGGAAAATCTGACTTAAAAAATACCAAATTGTTGCTTTCACTTCTATTTCTCTATTTACTATTGTACACTCCATACGTATTTGCTTTACTTTTTTTTTTTTTTTGAGATGAAGTTTTGTTCTTGTTGCCCAAGCTGGAGTACAATGGTGCGATCTCGGCTCATCGTAACATCCACCTCCCAGGTTCAAGCAATTCTCCTGCCTCAGCCTCCGAGGTAGCTGGGATTACAGTTGCCTGGCACCATGCCCAGCTAAATTTTTTTGTATTTTTAGTAGAGACGGGGTTTCACTATGTTGGCCAGGCTGGTCTTGAACTCATGACCTCAGGTGATCCACCCGCCTTGGCCTACCAAAGTGCTGGGATTACAGGCGTGAGCCACTGCGCTCAGCCTCAATTTTTATATTATCAAAATGTTCAGTTTTATGTATGTATGCATGTGTGTGTGCACACATGCACACACATACTTCCTTCTACTGCTCTCTTCTTATAAAGAGACTTCTCTATCTAGGAGTCAGAATATGTGTTCAACTCAGTGTTTTTCTCAATTGAGTTTCTCTTTAAACCAACTGGAAATTATCTAGTGTATAGTGTTGGCATTATATCTTAAGCATAGTGGAATTGTAAAGACTTGATACTATAGATGGTTTTATATAATATGTTTTTATCTTCATGCAGTTTTTAGACTAGACGGCAACATATGCTGACTTATTACAACAGAATTACTCAATCTGAGAGAAAGTTATAATCCAAGACACTTCTATTCTGGTTATAGGCACATCAAAAACATCTCAAACATGAAATTTATTCTTACCTTTAAAAACCCACAGAGCAAAAGCTCTCAAGGGCCTTCCCTAAACAACAATTCTAGTTCAGTGTTTAATAATATAAAATCAGCAGATTTTTCATAGCTGATTTAAACCCTTATCAGGGTTTCTTTTGTTTTTATTTCTGTTGTCTAAAGAAGATAACTATGGCAATCATCTGTTTAACAGTGCTTATATTTGAATAGCATTATATGTTTAGTGACTTTTAATGTGTGGGGAAGGAGGAGAGATTTCTGACATTTTTACTGGCTTCTCGGGCTTTCCTCTAAAGCACAGGACCCTATAATCAGAATCCAAAAAACAGGGCATGATCTGTTATGAATTGTGTGCCAAGTAATTTGTTAATAATAATATTTATGTTTTTGAATGAAATACTGTTAAAACAGAAATACAGAAAGGGTCCATGATTCTTCCTATAATAAAGCCACTCTTATGTTTGCATTCTGACGGTTTTTACAAGTGAGTAAAGAGGAAGAGATGAAAACTATCACAATACATCACCATGCAGCCTATCTTATCTATGTTATAGTCCATAATAAGCAATTCTTACTGAGTCACATTTTTATGCTGAGTATTGATTTTTATGAATATCACAAAAACAAAAACTTGTGCTATTTGCTTTATTGCCCCCACACACATACCCACACAATGCTTTTCAATCAAATCCACCATGGAGCATGTGATATATATAAATGTTAGTCTTCACTTGTATCGCTCTAAAAAAGAGTTTAAAAATCACTAAGCTACTATTTTTGAAATTGAGAGAAGAATAGAGTTCTCAATTAAGGCTCTCACAAGGGCACAAAGAACTAGAAGAATTTCCTCTCTCTATAATAATGTTAGTTTTGAGGTTAAATTTATTAATACTACATTGTTAATTCATTTCAAAATGGAATCGCTTAGGTCATACTCTCGTATGAGTAATTATGCATCCATAGTTCCTATTTGTTCCTATTCCTCTATTTCAATTTTAATTGAAACTAATAACAATCAACAATAATAAGAACTGAGATTTCTTTTTTTTTTTTTTTTTTTTTTTTTTTTTTTTTTGAGACGGAGTTTCACTCATGTTACCCAGGCTGGAGTGCAATGGCGCGATCTCGGCTCACCGCAACCTCTGCCTCCTGGGTTCAGGCAATTCTCCTGCCTCAGCCTCCTGAGTAGCTGGGATTACAGGCACGCACCACCATGCCCAGCTAATTTTTTGTATTTTTAGTAGAGACGGGGTTTCACCATGCTGACCAGGATGGTCTCGATCTCTTGACCTCGTGATCCACCCGCCTCGGCCTCCCAAAGTGCTGGGATTACAGGCTTGAGCCACCGCGCCCGGCCTCAAGAACTGAGATTTCTACTGAACACTCTCTACATGCGAGTACTTTACGTAGATTAGCTCAGAAAATTTCCCAATAGCATAGGAGAAAGGAGTGTTGGCGTCGCTATTTTACAGATGTGGAAGAAAATTCATTCTTAGAGAGGGTAGGTAACTTGCCCAAGGCCATACAATGAGTAAGAGGAAGTGACCTCGAAATTGGTTTTCCACTCTCCTATACATTCATTTCTTAACATTTTCTCCCATTTACCAAGATTACACTGACTCCTGATAATATCCTCCCTAGAGGATGCTATCTCTCTACCTGTTAACATCTGCAAACTCTTTAATCCTCATCTTTTTCAAATATTATCTCTAGCCTGTTTATATGGGTCACTTTGCATTCTCTATTTCATGGGTTTTTATTTTTGCCTGGAAAGCCATCTTGCATAAATATTTACCACGTTATGAGATGTGAACAAATGAATAACTTAGCACCACTGAACAAACAACTCAAATTACATTTTCAACTATAAATGTCCTATTGGTAGTCGATCACGATGATTCTCTTTCTGCTACGCAGTTACATTTTAACAATGACCAAAAGGAAGACTTCTTAATCTGGAGTCCATGGGTTTATGAAATGGTTGGGGAAGGAAGGGGCCCATGAATCTTCTGAAGCTATAAGCAAAATTACATGTGCAAGTATGTATAGCCTCCTAGTGAGCAGGTATAAATTTATTTTGTTAGTAATCCTTCCATAGTCAGAAAAGATTATTTGCATCAAGAATGGCAGAAGCCATCAGCAAATGGGCCAAAGAAGATATTATATAAAACACTTCTTACGTGCTCCTAGGTGGATGATAATGAGCTGGATAGTCTAGAGCCATATTTATTCATGGGACCAATTTAATGAGCTTTTTAGAATAATGACAACATTCTTTATGTATCAGTGACTGATGATCTATATGCAGTGTACCGTTTTGGAAAACATTCTGATTAGCACTAAATTTTCTCATTATTAAAGCATTTGTAAATGTACTCCATAAAAAAAAACTATCAGATCCTCCCTCTCAAAAACATGTCGCTTTTGCCTTTTCCAATCATTAATTTTCTGTTCTCCACAAGATCACAATATTACTAGTATCTAGCAATTATTATCACTTCAATAATAATTCTTACTAATGATAATGCATGCTTAGCAAAGCAATATGACCAACGTATTTAAACAGGGAATAATTAACAAATGACTGTATGATCAATTTTCGAAACTGACATAGGGTACAGTTTTTGTTTGGACAGTCTTTGAACACACATTTTCCTGTACTCTTAGTCCATGGGGTTGGGTGAGACCAAGCCCTCAACACCTACATGCATACATGTCCACTCATGTGAGCACACACACACAACACCCCTACTAAAGGCTGGACAAGTGACCCAAGGCAGACAAATCAGAATCTAACAAGAGAGGTTATTCATTTTAACCTGAATAACTAATGAAAATATAAGCCCAGAGTGATGCTGACCAGAAAACATAGCTGAATAAAAAGCCCTAGTAGATGGAGACCAAGAAATTTAGGATGACACCATTTGAAACCTACGATCTTGCCAAGCCTAAGGTGTACTTCTTGAATTCCCATTTGTTTTAGCCAAGAGATTCCATTTTATTTAAGCTAATATGAAATGGGTTCCTGTGCTGTTTGCAGATCAAGGGTATTGACTAATCATATTACATTTACTTATAACTATCACATAATTTTATTAATGAAGTAGTATTTAATTTCTAAGTGTTCCCTATGTTCTCAAAACAGTATTTGTCATCTCCAGAATAACACCTACCATAACCTACTTTGTAAAGGGATCTTGAATGCATCTAGATTGAGTGTTCCTAAAAAGTGTGGACTTTCTAATTTTCCACTCTGACCACATACCAGTGATATGTTTGGATCTGTGTCCCCATCCAAATGTCAGGTCAAACTGTCATCTCCAGTGCTGGAGATGGGAGCCTGGTAGAAGGTGACTGAATCACAGGGGTGGATCCTTCAAGAATGATTTAGCACCATTCCCTTGCTGCTGTCTGGTGATAGAGTTCTCAAGAGATCTGGTTATTCAAAAGTGTGTAACACCTCCCCATCCCTTCTCTTGCTCCTGCCTGGTTCCCCTTTAACCTTCCACCATGATTACAAGTTTCCTGAGGCCTCCCCAGAAGCTGAGCAGATGCCTCCATGTTTTCTGTATAGCATGCAGAACTATGAGCCAATTAAACCTCTTTTCTTTATAAATTACCTAGTTTCCGGTATTTCTTTACAGTAATACAAGAACAGACTAATACACTGAGGACTAGGCTTTGACTGAGTCAAGTGCTTATATAAATACTTGCTGAATGAAAACCAGTACTGAACAGAGTACATATATGATACGGCATTTATTAGACAATGCAGCACCTCCCTATTTTTTAGGACTAAACTAGCTTTTTTATGATGATAAAATATTCATAAAATTTGCCATATTAACCATTAAGTTAAGTGGCATTAAGTACTTTCACACTGTTGTGCAACCATCACCACCATCCATCTTCAGAACTCTTTTTGGATTAAGTGCTTCTAATGTGCACTGTTGTTTGTTATAGGTTCCAGGGAGTTTATTAAGTAGAACTGGTATTTCACATAGCAGCGTATTCCTCTCTTTAAAATATCCATGTTTTCTGTCTTAAAATGGTCTTTCTTTCTTCTCCCGGGCAAAGTCCAGGAAAGGGCACTCCCCTTTTAAAGCCAAGGAACTGAAATATCAAAAGTATCACAACATTATAAGAAAAAGCATGATGAGAAAACATTGATTATTCTTCATGGATTCAATGCCTTGAAATAACTCAGCTTGCTTAATATCAGTTACATTTCTGGGAGATACTGACAATGTACTGACTGACAGTCATGGACATCTAGCCATTTTCTCCATTAATTTTAACTTGTTTTATGTCTACTTTTGTTAAAACACTCAGAATACTAGATTTATTTA